GGGTATACTTAATTTATACAAGTGCTTATTTTTTTTTTTTACCTGACTAAATAGAGCTCTTTTACAAAGTAATTTTGGCAATATCATATGAAGGTAGAAAAATATCATATTACATAACATATACACCTAGACACAGACATGCAAAAAGAGATCTTAGAGTTTTCATTTTAAATCTCAGCCATAAGTTAGGTATAAACTCAGAAACATAAAACTTACTAACTTATATGAGAGCTATCTTTGCCTTGTTAATTTTTTAATTTGCTCTTCCTATCAGTATCAAGAGGGCGTTTGTTTAGGGATGAGAGCTCTGTGAAAAATCTTTTTAAAAAAGATAAAAGTCTAAATATTCAAGAGTATGCTGTCTTTTTATTAAAAAAATTTTTTTTAACGTTTTATTTATTTTTGAGACAGGGAGAGACAGAGCGTTAACAGGGGAGGGTCAGAGAGAGGGAGACACAGAATCTGAAACAGGCTCCAGGCTCTGAGCTGTCAGCACAGAGCCGGACGCGGGGCTCGAACTCACGGACCAAGAGATCATGACCTGAGCCGAAGTCGGACGCTTAACCGACTGAGCCACCCAGGCGTCCCTATACTGTCTTTTTAAAATGAAGTATAATTGACATACAATGTTGTGTTATATTAGTTTCAGAGGTATTTTGATTTAACAATTCTATACATTACTCAGTGCTCACCATCAGTGTAGATACCATCTATCACTATACACTATTACAATATTCCCTATGCTGTATTTTTCATCTCCGTGCCTTATTATATAACTGGAAGTTTCCACCTCTTAATCCCTTTTGCCACTCCTACCCCTATCTCCCCTCTGGTAACCACCAGTTTGTTCTCTTCATTGAAGGGTCTGTTCATTTGTTTTGTTTTCTAGATTCCACATATAAGTGAAATCACATGGTACTGTCTTTCTCTGTTTGACTTAAGTCAGAAAATATACCTATTTGAATCCAAAAACAGTATTCCTCTTTATGGTTTAAAATCAGTAAGCCTGGGGTGCCTGAGTGGCTCAATAGCTTAAGCATCTGACTTCAGCTCAGGTCATGATCTCATGGTGCATGAGTTCAGGCCCAGTATCAGGCTCTGTGCTGACAGCTCAGAGCCTGGAGCCTGCTTTGGATTCTAACGTCTCCCTCTCTCTCTGCCCCTCCCCCACTTGCGCTATGTCTCTCTCAAAAATAAACATTAAAAAAAATTTTTTTTAAATCAATAAGCCTTTTATCCCTTAACCATAGACATAAGAGGAGTCCCCAAAGAGTGCAAAAGATGCAGCCCTCCCCAAATCCAGTAAGTTCATTCCCACAGTCAGCTTAAGAACGCAGACTTTCATTGTCACAGGCTTAAGGTAAGAACAGTGTTTATGAAACTGGTGTCTCTTGTTATCTGTGGGAAGATGAGATGCTTCCAACTATAGACCAGCTAATTTGTGTATTGGGTGGTTGACATTAGGATGAGTGTTTCCTAACACTAATGAAGGTGAGGCAACAAGCCCCCTCATGGACAGGGACCTCTCATTAAGACAACCTTCCTTAGCAGCTGGTAATGTTGGACAAAGAGAATGCTGCTTGTCATTTTGTATCTTGGGTCGCCAGCCTGTTTGTCTGGTTACCTGACTCAAGCCAACACTTGTACCCTCTGGCTGGTGGAGAACTAAAGCCAAACTCTGAAGACAGAACAAGATGAAAGGAATATCCCATCTTACGATTTTTCCCCCTTATGATAAATACCCCAAAAGACAGACAAGGAAAACAAAGACTAGCAACCTATGGATAATACCAATGGGTGGGGCGCCTGGGTGGCTCAGTCGGTTAAGTGTCCGACTTCGGCTCACGTCATGATCTCATGATCTCATGGTCTGTGAGTTCGAGCCCCGCGTCGGGCTCTGTGTCAGAGCCTGGAGCCTGTTTCCGATTCTGTGTCTCCCTCTCTCTCTGCCCCTCCCCTGTTCATGCTCTGTCTCTCTCTGTCTCAAAAATAACTACACGTTAAAAAAAATTAAAAAAAAAATACCAATGGGTAACCAGGACCAAACTTACAAGAGTCACAATTCAAAGAACTAATTTTTATAAATGTTTTTATCCTGTCAATCTTTCTTCCTTTCTTCTTTCTTTCTTTCTTTCTTTCTTTCTTTCTTTCTTTCTTTCTTTCTTTCTTTTTCTTTCTTTCTAAGTAATCTCTATATCCAACATGGGGCTTGAACTCACAACCCTGGGATTAAGAGTTGCATGTGCTACTGAATGAGCCAGCCAGGCACCCCTGCCAATCTATATTTAGAGAGGAAAAAAAGATGCTTTTATTATTCTTGTTTTGGCTGGGCCTATAGGCAGAGATCTGAGATACTGGTATGTGTAGCATATGTGTTTCTGGGTTTATTCCTACATGTTTTCTCAGTAATACATGGTATTTCTCTTTAGGTTGTAAACTATTTTTTAATAGGTTTAAATTATTTTTGTTTGGTGTAATTTACCTTTGTTTACAGAACGGTGTTTCTATAGCAAGGATCAAAAGCACATACAGGTATTTTATATTTGAATAAAATTACAAGGCAGTTGATTCCAATATATATGGCAGCCCAATTCTCAGGGCTCTTGCTGAAAGATGGGGAAAGCATTTGAATGAATGATTACTTTCTTTGGTATTACTACATTTTATAGGTTAGACTCTGGGCAAAATCCTTCATCACCTTTTGTGGAGACTATTACTCACTCTTTGTAGATATATGAATTCTTTGGATCCATTTAAGAATGATGGTGCACTGAGGGACACTGGCCAATCCAACAACATGCCCTCCCTGTGAGTTTGTACCATGTTGGAGAGTGAGCCATTGTTTTAATTTTAAGTCCTCCTTCAGAAAGCCCATCTCGGGGGGCCGGTGGTGGGGAGTGTCTCTGCTGGAGGTGCATGTTACATACACAATGACTTTAATCAAATGAGATGCCTTTATGCTCTCAAACCTAAAGTTATTTTTGAATTTCATAATGTACTCATTCAGCAATTACTTAATTTCTTCATGTGTTTTCCTCAGAACTAAGTAATAGTTTGTATCTATCTATCTATTGAAAAAAATCAAGATGTTTGCACAGAAACTAAAAAATCTGCAATGAAAGTATTCTCCAGAAATAGTAACTGAATTGCACATGCCGATAAATCTCAGCAGTGGTGAACTTAGTTCTTCTTCTGAGAATATGCCCCTCAATTCCCTAGGCTGGGCTCGATCCTCTTTATATATATTCCTTCACCCTGAATTATATAGGAATGATCCATTTGAGGTCTTCCTCTAATACCCTATGCTCTATGGAAAAATACTGTCTTACCTGACTTTACACGCCTAGTTCGGGGACAAGTACTTTAAACCAAGGCATTTATCTGAATTGAACCGCTTAATGACTCAAGTAGTAAATATGAATCATGTAATCTGTTTTGCTGCCGGCGCGTGCTCTTTCACAAGCTAGAATTTGGCCCACAGGTCTTATGTTTGTTCTGGAAAGGTGGTTATTGACCCATTTGTAACAAGTGTTTTCACGTTCGCCAGGCGATTTCACAATTCTGCTTCTGGACTGGGTTCTAGACACACACCATCTGGCGTCACCTATGGGAATGCTTCATCCCTGAGGGCAAGCGGCTTGTTGGCTTTGTGGTCCTGGGCCCTCCTGCAGGAATGACTGTACCTGGCGCGCTGGGCTGGTCGGTGAGCTCCTCCAGGGCAGAAGCCATGGTATTTCAATGAAAATTTCCTGGGTTCGGAGCTCTGGTCGGCCACAAAGTAGGCAGCTCGGTAAATTATTGCAGTTTCCAACTAGGTGAGGCAGAATGGGTGCTTTGGGGCCACTAACGGGGCCAGGCACTGAAACAAGCCCTACACCCTCAAAGAAAAATCACTCGGAACCATCTTCGCGCATCCTGAAGTATCAACCCGTGCGCGCTAAGTCTCTGTGCCCAGAGCTTTCACTCATTTAAAATTCTCAACAATCCTTTTCTTTTTCCTCCTCTGATTTGCAGTTTTTGAACGATGTCTGGCTAAATCCTAGTGAGACTGTTGATACCGCGGGAGTCTCACCGTCATGGGAATGTTATTACAGTTATTCTCACAATCCTTTTATTTATTTATTTTTTTTATAAAAGAGGGATTATACAATATTCTATATTAAAGTGTCGTGAGTACACTAACCTGAACTGTAAGGCTGGGTACATTTTTACATACGGATACCACCCAGATCGAGAGACAGAACGTTTCCAGCTCCCCGTAGGTTCCCTTGTGCCCCTCCCATCCCCCTGAGGTAACCGTTACTCAACTTCTCTCACCAGCGGGAAGTTTTGCACTGCGGCCTGATTTGGTCCACGGGGCTGGACGAGGCGCACGCTCTGCTCGCTCCCTACAAAGCATCGCGCCGAGGTTCCGGGAGTCCACCACCGAGCGACAGCTCCCGGCTCACAGACCCCCCCGTAGGCGGTGCGGGAGCACGCCACAATGGCCGCCCGCGCTCCCCGCACGGGCCTCGCCGCATTCTCCCACCCTTCCAGCGGGTACCTCTCCCGCGCCACCGCCAGCCGGGTGTGGCCCTGGGCGCGACCCGCCGGAACGCTAGCGGCCAGAGAGGCGCTCCTGAGCCCGGGATGTGGGGCGCGCGCCCATTGGTTGAACTTTCCTACTTGGGCCGGCCGGCCGCAGAGCCCGCCTCCCGGCCCTCTTTCGGTGCTCCCATTGGCCGTTCGCGTCCCACCCGCGCCCGCTCCCGCCCCCAGCCCGCCCAGATGGAAACGGGGTTGAGGGGGTGGGAGGCCGAGGCGGGGAGGGAGGGGTCGAGGTATCCTCCCGGTAAGGGGGCGCGAGAGACAAGACAGGCCAATCCGGACAAGACGTGGAAAAGAGGCTCCGCGCCAGCCAGTCACATCGCGAGGTCCGGGTCGGGGAGGCTGACGCGAGTGCGGGCCGCAGCCAATGGGCGTGCCACTACCCGTCCGCTCTTCAGCAGCCGGTCGGGGGTGGTGGAGGAGCGAGTGAGGAGAGCGCGACGGCGGCGGAGACATCGCTGGACGGCCAGGGGGAAAGCGAGGCCCGAGCCTCTGAGTCTAGGTGAGAGGCAGCGACGCCGGGCGGGAGAGGCGAGCTGCGGGCCCCTCCTCGCCTGGCCCGGGCCGCGGCTGCGGGAGCCGGGGCGGCAGGCCGCCGGAGGCGACACCCGCCGCCCCGCCCCCGCCCCCACCCTGGGCCGC